GTGCTTGCTGGATGAGCAATGAAAAGATCTTTTATTCTAGTGAGCTTTTTTGTTTTATGGTGTTGCTGTTTGCAGTGTGAAAGTTAGTTGTCAGCACTTGCATTTGTAAATCTCTTTTTAAGGGCTGATTACTCTGGGCTGAAATTTGGCAGGCAAGATCTCAGCCCTAGAGCATTGTTTGGGGTTTTGCATGTTTTTTAAATAACAGATCTATCTGACTGATTTGATTGAGAGAACAGCATGCTTCTACTCATATTCTTGTAACTCTAGACAGCAAAACAGACTGCATAAAAGCACACTTTGAATATGAATTAGAAAAATTAGAGACTACTTCTAATGAAAGCAGAGGTGGGAGGATTGGGGGATACACTCAAGGGGGGTTGGCGGGGGGCAGTGGTGGTTTTCATTGGCTGTATAACAATGGAGTAATGTCTCTTTGGAGCTGTTTGCAAGGTTGTAGTGTATGTGGATGCAGTATGTATATAAATATCTTCAGACAGTTGAACATTAACTCTGCCAGTACTAGAAGACACCTAAACCTGAACTAAAATGCAGTGTAAAGGTTAGTCTGATGTTGGCACTGCAATAACGCACACGTGTGGCCTTTGGATGAGAGCGATCCCAGCTCAACTTGGCTTGGCACCCAGACACTTATCTAAATAGTCATGCTGTGGACCACTGCTGGTTTGTATCTGGTATCTTCTGAAATGATGGAATTCTCTTAAGATGCATTTGAAAATACTTGCTAGTAAAGAACCATATTGTCAACTTTAACAAAACAAAACCTCCACAAAACAACCACCAAAACCTTTTTATTTGTGAATGTGGTTGGGGATGTTGCAGAAGGAAACAAGTAGGCTGAAATATGTGCTACCTGTGTCATTCGGCTAGGTGGTCTCAGTCCATCCTGAGAAAATTCTTGAAACTCCTCAGATTAACCACTGCTGACCAAGTGCGTGTAGGGGCAGATTTGTACAAGTAGGAGTAAAAAGTGACTGCCAGCATCATCCTTGTTCTAATGAGAAAACTGCATTAAGGTGCTCTTCCCCATCCTGTTGCAATTACTAATTTAGCAGACTGAGCAGTGTTATAGTTTTGGGGACAGTAAAGACTTCATGATTGAATGTTGTGTGGTTTCTAAAGAAATATGTTTTTACCTGTATTTTAAACTTCAGGAGGATAAGTGTCTTGCCTACTTACAAATCAAGTTTGAACTGCTTTTGATAAGCTTCAGTAAAATCCATGCAGTTTCTCTTGGATTAAGTAGTTCTAGAAATAAGTATTTGCATGTCTCAAACAACTTTGTTCTTGACACAATACATTTGAAGTTGTTGAACATAACTAATTACTCTGAATGGCAAGTGAGAAGAAAAAATAAAGATTTACTATATGCATTTACAAAATTGAAGTTATATAATATTACAAATTTAGAATTCTGTACTTCTGAATCAACTCATAAATGCAAGCCATTTTGTAGGTTATGTGACTAGACATAATTAGTGGAAGACATGGATTTTTTGTGAATCTGCTTGCTATAGGCTAGAAATATTATTTAAAAGTTTATTTAAGAGATTGTGTGCCTCTGAAGGCTTTTCTTGTTTTTTAATAATGTGAATGAAAAAAAATTGCAATCTACTTCTGACAGCTCAATGTTCTGCCATAGGTATTGCTGTGTCTATCCCAAAGAGGGCTGCCAACTTGCATTTTTGTCTTAAATGTCTCCTACTTACTGCAGCAGCGTGTATTTATGCAAAGATACAGCTTACCAATCAGCAAGTCAGTGTAGCTTTTAAAGTGGTGAGCAAGTTAACTCTTCACTGGGATGATAATTTTTATTGTTGTATTAAAATGCCACATTTAACTTGCTGATTTTACTATTAAACTAGCATCAGAAGAAGATAAACTGTCTTCCAAACTATCAATCCTTATCTGTAGTTTCTAGCACTACCAGGTATTGCTTGTGGTTCCTCTAAATGAGCTAGTGCATGAAGATATGTATCAATACTAATAAACATGCTAAAACTCATCCTGTGAAGAGCCTTAAACATTTCGTGCTCTTTATTGTTTCTCTCCCTGAAGTAACACTGCTCTTTCCACAAACACTGTATTATCTGACATGATAGTCACGGAAGCCTGCTGTCATACAGGCTTTATGCTTTAAGAGACTGGTAAGTGGCAACTCTGCTTTGGAAAAGTTGACGGCACTAACTTTCCAGAACAGCTCTGCACATGAAGTTGTTTATGCGTATCACAACAGATGGGACTTTGCAGTAGGGCACTTGACGTCCTGGGGACTTGTAGCAGTGTGACATACTAAGTGAAGAAAACTGCAAAGGAAACTCCTACATTCAGGGTCTTTCGGTATGGCTTACCCATTTGCAGAAAGGCAATAGCTGGACAATGTTAAAAGTGTGGGACTTTAAAGAGGATATTCAACCTGCCTTCTGAAAGATTATAATAGTGTCTCACTTGTGTTGAGAGCCATTTAGATCCTTAACGATCAGAATACAAATTGAATACAGGGGTTTGGCATTGTAGATATTAAAAATAATTTGTTCAGAAGGTGAGTGGACTTACTGTGGTGTGTATCACAACAAATCTGTGTAACTAATGAGAACATGATTATTAGTTTGAGTAATCCAAAGTTACCAAGCACTTCAATCTAGACCTAGCCTGTGATAAACATCTTATGTAATCTCATCTAAAGGACTTCTGAAAAGCAGTAGAATGATGTGCTGCTCTGATTGCTGGTGGCTTGCCCAAGAAATTTGAAGTTGCAATGTGCACATTATAGTCATGTGTTATCAAGTTGGCTAACAGCTTGTCTACACTCATCTGAAATTAATGATTTAGCTGAATATTTTGTGCTTGATGGCCAGTCACCAAATGCTTTAAAGGACATATGTGTAGTAGAACTTTACTCTTGTTTGTTAGACTCACATGATCTGTTTTCCTTCCACAATCCATAGATTTACAAAGTACTGGTGCTAACACTACATACCAGAAGATGGAAGAGATTGCAGCGTGACTGGGGACAGGCTGATCCTAGAAGGGAATGGGAGTGTGAGATAAGCAGGCGACATAGAGATGCAAGGAAGTACCTCGGCATTGATTTGGGGATCAAAATGCTGAGTACATAACATCATTGCTGACTGAAACACATTTGTCTTTCTGTAAAATAGACTTTAGCTTGTGAATCTGGACTAATATGCATGCTAAAGGTTAGTAAAAAGAGCAGTGGAGATTATATACAGCAAATGTGAGATGTGTAAAGTCTTGTGCTCTTAAGAAAAATATTAATCCAAAATTTTAAAAGACAAACCAATTTCTTTAAAGAATATTAACAGAAGCATTCTCAAAGAAGCTTAGACACCTTCTGCAGTGTTAATGCGCATACAGCTTCCCATGCATGGGTTTGAGCAACACGGAGTGTAGCTATTTAATCCTTACTTTAGAAAAATTGCTTTCATCCTGAGGATGATTTTTGGTTATTTTATGAAATACAAACATCTGGAATGAATTCCAGACTTTCTGCCATGTAGACTCTGAGTATGTTCATGTGTGTGTAACTCTGTATGTGAAGGGCAGTATAATTTTTTTATTTATTTTTGTGTGTTTTTTCTATGTTTCTCTCTTAAATAGTTTCTATTCCAAGATGAGAGGCAGGGTGTTAGGGGGGAAAAAATTTTCCAGGAACATAACAGTGACATGGTGCATGTGTTTCTTTCAAAAACATGTTTTTCATGCTGACTTTATCGCTTCATGCTACTAATGTAAGCAACTGTTCATCTAAGCTGAATATTTTGTCCTGTCAGGATTTGTTTCTTCAACTGTGTGTGTAAAGTATCTGCTGTATAATTCCATAATACAGACACCTGAATCAGTTCATGGGTGAATGTCATAGTTTTATTTAAAAAATTTTCGAATATATTCAATCCACTGTATGAAAGGTTTTTGCTTTTGTCCATTTCAAAATATATTGTGGAAGAGATTCCATGGAAGGCCTTAATCCCATGGACTGAAAGAAATACTTTAACTCCACTGTTTTGGGGTCAAGATAACCTAAAAGGAGCTTATGCTGCTGAATTGATCATACTGGTACCTTCCATGTGTTGCAAATCTTTACTTTTTTTTTTAAAAGGAGATTGGAGAGAATCTTAACCTGAAGTTTGGTGTCACCAACTTGAGGGCAATAAATTTCTCTCACACATTGCTACAGATGGAGTACTAGAATTTCCAAGTGAATAAGTAACTCAAAAAGCATATTATAACTTGCTCATAGTCCTTTTAGAAAAGAAATTTAAAAATTACTCTGATTTTACATCTTAATATTTACTTTCTGAGACTTTATGCTTTAAATGAGCTTTTCCTCTTTTTTTTTTTAAAGACCAGGTGTGTTTTAAAATAACAGTATTAAATAATAGCCTCAAATTTCAAAGTGATATTGCTGTCAGACTTTCAACTCTACTCAGTTTTCTACTTGTCTAATCAAATAAAATAACATTTTAGGATGATGGAGCAGAACAACTTGCTGAGCGTTACTAATCTAGCAGAACTGCTGTAACATGCTCTTTAAAATTTGCAAAGTGACTGTCAGAATAGTTGTAGAAGGCAAAGGTTGGTTTGTGACTAAATGCTTCTTAATAAGTTAAGTAAGTCTACCAGGTAGTATGAAGAAGTTATGGTTTTCAAACCATATCTGAATAATTAAGGTGAGAATCAAGTGAAACTTTCCCAGTGGAATTTCCCTGCCCAGTGCTGTGGCAAGTGTTTGTCTGCCCTCCCAAGGCAGCCAGAGACTGGGAGCTGAGTGTATCTGCAAGATCGTTTTATCCTTACCTTCAGCCATAACATTTTCCCTGAATGCTTAATCCTGGCTGTGTTGTGTGGAAGTTCTTTGGACCTTTGGTCTGAATTGGGATGGCATGTCTAGAATGGCTGTGAGTTCAGGAATTTCAACAACCACTTACAGAGTCTTTTGTCTTCCTATTTCCACAGCTTACAAAGGTGACCAGTAAAGTTCTCTCTGAGCAGCCAAAAAGCAGACAGCTCATGACTTCTGATCAGGACACTAAAGTTGTGGCTGAAACGCAGGTGCAGCAAGTACAAGAAGTTAAAGACGGTTCTCATCTAGTAAGTATTATAATTACATACTCCCCTGGTATAAGTGTTGCATGAAACAGGTTTTTTACTATGTCTTAATCAAAATTGTATCTCCAAGCATTTTAGAAGACAGTTGGCTGGTAACATTGCAACATAAGATGCTAGGAAATAGTTGTTGAAGATGGCTAATTCTCCATACCAACTAGGAAGCTCAATTTAACTTTTCTTCAGCCCTACACAGGATTTAAATAAACTGCAAGTTACGTAGTTTGTGCTCGTTTAAGGTACAGGGCTTTTTAGGCTATGCAGGAATTGTATCGTCAATCTTGAGTTAGGTTCTAGCTCACACATTAACATGTGAGGAAAATGCAGGAAATGCACTTGGCATGTATCTGTAATTGAAAAAAGTACAAACCCATACAAATAGGAAATTGCATTCCATAACAGGAATTTTGCTCAGTCAGTTCTGCCAAATGGCACGTGCTGCTGCTTCTGTGCTACTGTGCAGGATCCAGTAAGTTGCTTTATGGAATGCTTTTGGCAGATCATACATCTGTGTTATATATGTTGCAGTGAAAGCTACATATGTCTTCAAGATGATCAAATACTTGATTTGTGTGTAAGGTCTACTCATAACATTATATTTTCATCTTTGATTGTTAACTGTATATTGGGAGGAATGTTTCCTCTTGGATATCTTGAAGGGGGTTTGGTTTCAGTGTGTGTTCTGCTAGGCCCTTAGCCTGTGCTACACTAAGCAGCAGATGCTTGCTGCTTCAACTTACCTCGCAGCAAGCACTAAGGAGCATTTTGAAAAACACTTTAAGCTCGTGCTTTTCTTTGCTAAGCAAACTGATGGGGCTTTTTTATTTGACAATAGAGGAAAAGGTTGAACCCAATTTTATGCTATACTTTTGAAAGTTGAGCTTTTGTGATTTTTTTTTATCCCCCCCGTACTCAGGGCATTAATTCCAAGAAACCAGTATGTAAGCTTACGTAAGAGGCTCTTGCAGATTTGCTTCAGAAGCTTGGAACTGACAGTGCACTTCCAACAGGTGCATTAGTATTAAAGGTGATTGATTAGTCTTCACATTGATGCTAGTTCTTTTAATTTGGCATACTAGAACGTTTATAAAACTACATGTAATGTTGGAACTAAATCTTAATTTCCATTCTTTCATACTTACTTGGAGAAAGAGCAGCCATTTCTTTCAATTTCAGAAAATCTATCTGCTCTTTTCCTTAGTAGAGGAGGCTAATGTCAATTTAGATATCTGGCAGTGTAACTATAGTGCTATAATGGTGCATTTCAAATAACTAATTCTTTTGAGATTGAAGCTTTTCCTTTGAATAATTTATTCCAAAAATGAAACCTGTAGAAGCTTATTAAGTTTTTTAGTTATATCTGTATTATACTCTTATATGCGCAGCATCAGAAGGTCATTTTGTTGTATGAGACTCACTGCCAATATATGCTGTTAAAAGGGTTTTTAAGGTGGTCTCTTCCATAATAGCATGCTTGCATGAGTACACTAATCTGTCAGTGCTTCAGGACTTCATTTCCAAGTTTTGGGAACAATGCTATAGTTTGAGGAAAAACTTCATGGAGTACAGAAAGAAGGAACTAAAATCCTGAGGACATTTTCATCTTTACAAAAATGTAATAGGAAGGAGAAACTTATAAAGTCCTGACTTGATTGCATGTAGCAAGTACATGCTTCAGGTTCACCTGCTGTTTCTTGTGTGTCTTAATTACTTTGAGATCAGAGGGCTTGACTGCATAACGGTCACTCATATCTGGTCATCCCTACTTCAGTGTGTATTTGGTATGGGGCCATACTGCCATGGTATCTAGTGAGATTTCTAGGAGTCTTTTTTATAGACTTAAAATAAATTTGCTGAATTGCATTGCCTAGCTATTTTGGCTATGCTGTTTTACTAGGATCTGGTGATGCTTAGTCCGAGTGCTTTTGTGGCAGTTCAGGAAGAAAGTTGTAGAATTTCTACTGGAAATTTTGATAAACCTCTGTAGATCCTGGAAAAAACTCCCTGTATGCTAGTCTTAATTCTGAAGTTAATATATTAAGTATCTTTTATTTAAATATTTACAATAAATTTTTCCTAATTATGACTTTAATCAGTTTTTCTTTGGCAGGAACAAAACACATGTTCTATTGTTAGTAATGTTGAATAGTCAATAGTGACTGAATTAAAACAAAAGTTTTGATGTTGTGATGGAACCCTTCAGAAATAACTTTCCAGTGTTGCTTATGCTACTGTTGGAGAGGTCAATTGCTTACTAACAGTTTTTGAAAGGCTTAACCTCATGGTGAGGGAGGGAGCCAAAGTAATTTCTTCTGCCTTGAAGTAGCTATAAAACTATATGCTATTTAATGCCTAATGTAGATTGATCACAAGTGTAGCATGGTTCAATTCCAAAACCAGCTCCTTTTGTATTTGGCTGACTTTAGTAGTATTTAACAGCAGAATTTTGGTACTTTCACATGCAAGTTGATTGAAGGAAGTTGGCATCTTGAGGATCCATATAAATTTCTTGTTAATAGTAGCTTACACTTAGAAATTGGAAGTAGATAATTTAGAGGATACTAGCAAATTCTTAGCTTTGATAACTTTGGAAGTTAAATATGCTGGTGTTTCCAGCTTTTTTAAACTTAACCCGAAGTGACAGCACTTGCCTCTATATCTGTCATTAGATTTTTTTGTATCCTGATTGACAATTACTCTTTCTGAGAAAGCCCTTTCCAGACTGGACCTAGGAAAGTCAGTGTTTAAGAAATGTTTCATTTCCTTTTGACTCACTTCTGTTTCCTTTTCGATCAGTAACACTTTGCTGCTAGAAATTCCAGGTTGCTCTCTGAGGGAAGAGGCCAAGACTCAAATCCTGTGGTGGAAGTAGTTTATATGACCTGTCTCTGCCAGACAGGGTTTAATTAACCTTTAGTGCTAAAGACATGGTCTTTTTCCTTGCTCATTGATCCTAAACTCTTCCCTGCCATGCCCATGTTTGAATAGGTGGCTTCTCAGAGTGCTTTCCAAGGACCAAAGAATTTTCTTTCTTTGGCTGAATTGAAGACCTGATCTGGAAATGTGAAGTTACTTCAGAAGGGATTGTTGTTGTCAAGTGACAACAGATTCTCAAATGTTGGTGTGTGCCAGTGGAGGATATTACCAGGGGGTCTGCTTAAACTTGTTGTCTGATATGAGCATCACCTGTTCTCTCTCTAGTTGAATAATTATCAGATGTGGCCATGGGCTTCTCATAATGGGAATTCAAACCAGTATGGTGTGCTGGTTCTTGTCAATGCTTATAGGTACTGTAAATACAAGTTCAATTGTATTGTTTGTTCTAAGCACAAGAAAAATAGCTAGCACATCAGAAAATGTGAGATGGGACTTAATTGTACTTCACAAAATGTTTTTCATAGGAGGTAATACAGAAGGATGTCTTGGACTCTGAGCTGCCAGGTTATGGTGCTCAAAAATCCTTTTGCAACCCATTCAAGAGTAAGCCTCCTAGAATAAAAAGGGACTGAGGAAATTAGATTTACTAGTTTTAATATAGGACCCTGTGTAACAGTTCAGTGAAAATTCAGTATAGCCTATAATCCTCAGATAATTTGACAACACACAGTATTACATACAGTATGTGCCAATTAAGAGTTAAGTAGTAGTTTGTATAACGTGGATATTTAATAATTCAAGAGAGCATGAATAGCTCTAAACAAGAGATGGGAGGATTAGATCTTGAACTGAACATGTACTGTATCAGCATCATGGAGGATCAGTACCGCTCAGCATTCTCTCTGTTATGTTACTGTAGATTTAGACCATAAAAGGGCTGAATAGTTCTATACCTGTAGATGTCTTCTAATGCTAATGGTTAATTGCTTTGATGTGAAAATGTGTATTTAAACTCTTAACAGTCCATTTAACCTTGATATATTGAAGGAAAAATTAAGCAATCTGGCCAGCTGTTTCCAAAAACCTGCAGTAGTGATGCTGTGGTGTTTGATGCTGCTCTTCTTTTTTGCCTTAACTGTCAGTGGGCATGACATCAGGTATGGCCTGGGAGTGCAGAATAATCACTGTTTCTTCAGGACTAGTTAGGATTGCATGACTTCATTAAAGAAAGTCAGATGTCAGAAGATGTCAGACTGTTTTAACATGTGCTACTGTAACTTTAAAGCTAGACTGTATTTTAAAACTTAGGTCTATAAGACTATATGGGGTAAACCCTTACTCCTTGACAAGGAGTAGGTACCTGTAGAAATGAAAGTAAATGGGGAGGTATACTTCTGTTAATAAGCGTGTTGACTTCTTGCCTTCTGTATAGGTGTGTGCAGAACATAGGACTAATACTTATTTAAAAAAAAATTGTTCAAGTTACAAAAGTGCAGCTTCAAAGCAGCTTTGTTTTATGGAGAGGGAAAACCTATTTAGGCAATGAGTAGATGAAGAATATACCAGAGCCAAAATATATATGTATAAAGGGGAAAAAACCAAAATAAACAAAACCCACTCCCTGCTGAGCTGGGCTCTGAAAAAGCACAAATTGTTAGTTTTAAAGTGCTTTTCAAGTCAGGTGGTGATGTTTAGCTTAGCCAGAAGGCTTTTAAGACTTACTGAGTCTTGGAAGTTAAACAACCAGCCTCAGGTGATGTAGCATAACAGTGAGGCATTTTCTGCTTAAATGTATGTTGTTGGGATTTTTTTAATGGTGATCCCACAATAAACAGTATTGAGAAATGTGACATAATGAATGTTTGCAATACATGCTTAAAAATAGAAATCATACCTGGAACTCTTAGATAAAACCAAAAGAACAAGTACAAAATGTGCCATTGCACATAAGGAGAAGGGTATGGAAGAAGTTTCTGCTTGCCTGGACTGCTTCACCCATGTTCCTCCCACTAGTTGATAGCAGAAGTGCTTGTTGAGGCACTGGAAAAGTGGACTTTGCCCTGGACAGTCTCTTAAAGGCACTTAGTTCCTCTCTAGAAAGCACGTAG